GTCTCTTCCTCCCAGCCCTCCTTTGAGGATTCACAAAGTGGAGAGCTGTCCTGAGTCTAAAGCCGGTGGGGAATGTACAGGTTTAGGGTCGAACCTGCAGTCTTGCAGGAACTGCTGCTGTTTGCTCTGCTCCTGCTTTTATTTAGAAAGTTTATAGGGCCGTAATTAAATGCAGCCTCTCTGAATGGAATGTTGTCAGAGATTCCTACAGTCAACTGATGAGCTTGTTTAAAAAAAAAAAAATAACCACTGTTAAAACAAGCCGGTGGGGAATGTACAGGTTTAGGGTCGAACCTGCAGTCTTGCAGGAACTGCTGCTGTTTGCTCTGCTCCTGCTTTTATTTAGAAAGTTTATAGGGCCGTAATTAAATGCAGCCTCTCTGAATGGAATGTTGTCAGAGATTCCTACAGTCAACTGATGAGCTTGTTTAAAAAAAAAAAAAAAACCACTGTTAAAACATGTGTTTCAGTTTGACTTCCTGCATCACCTAAAGATTAAATTTGTGATGCTGCTGTGCTTTAAACGACAGGAAATGCAGATCAGGTTCAGATAGTAACATGAATTAATCTGCCTGACTGCTTTTTTGCCTTCAGATGAAATACATGTGCTAATGTGATTTCTTGTACAGTGAGACCTATCAGCGTGTAGGCTTTGTGATGTAAGCATGGTGTAACAAAGTTGAGGAGTTTGGCCCACATTTCATCAGTTTTAGATACTGAAGGTTATCAACACAAGCTCATCTGTTGTCTTACAACTTGTGAAGTGCCTCGAGGTGCCTATCAAAACTGCATGGGAGCTGCAGTGAAATACAGGAGGGGAATAGGTTGTTTTGAAGGTGTGGAAGCAGTGTGTGATGGCTGAGCTTTTGTTTGCAGTTCTGATAGAACATGTTGGTCATGTATTGCAAAGCCTTTTGTAGAGCGTAAGTTCTTCCTCTAAAACTTTGACATGATTAAAGCCTTTAATCTGAAAAAATTGAAATCCCTGTTGCTGTGTATTTCAGTATTGCAGCGTGTCCTTAGCTGGTCAATTCTAGTTTTGGCATAAAGGCTTTCTGTTTTGTGTGCAGGAGGAAATTATTGGTATCATGTATTTTAGTCTTTCTGCTTACTGTCACATCTGTAGACAAAGTATATTTGGAACAGTAACTTGATTGATTCACGCATTCTTGCTTTAATATGCCACCTATACAAAACAAGTTCATGTGGAAACAGCAGTGGTGTGAGAGTTCTGAGGCTATTGTGTAGCACAAGAAAGCCCAGCCTTGACTACCCGTGCTGCATGTAGGACTTTGGGATTGTGATGGTTCCTTCAAGGAACATTCCATGTGTTCAGAGAGTGAGGGCGGGTGGAGAGCTGTGGTGGACAAATGACCGTGAGCAGTTATCTCTGATAGGAACGCAGCTTCTCACAACGTAGGTTCTGTATTTAAAGTAGCATTTGCTGGCATTAGCTAGTTACCATGCATTACACTTTTTTTTTTAATGCCAAAGGCCTAAATTGGTTTGCATCTAGATAGAATCTCAGAACTTAGTGCTCCCCGGGGGAGGACTTGGGTGTTACTTGTTTTGGAAGAATATTAGTAGTGGAAGGTTTTCTCAAAGAGTGGGGTTTGGGATGGGTGCTTACGTGTTTTGGTTTTGGGTGGGCATTGCTCATAAAATGTCTGATGCACGTGAACTTTAATGGTTTCAAAGAACTCATCTATATGGAGGAATTTTCTAGGTTATGGTGTGTAAACTACAACCTGCTGGATTCTGTTCACAGTCTTTTTACTAGGAATTGTCTGCCTGAAGGAATTTGCTTACGTAATTGTTTATGACAGTTATACTGACACTTCTCCATCAGTAACTAATTTCTTGCAGAAGAGGAACATGTTAGTGTGGAAGTATTAATTACACAGAGCTGACTGTAGTTTCTTTGTGTAGGAGAGCTTAGAATTGGTTCACAAACACTGGAAGTGCTAGCCATTCTTGCTGTCAACTTCGAGGTGGAGGATATTGCTTTCCCACCTCCGAGAGGTTTCCTTTGTGTAGGAGAGCTTAGAATTGGTTCACAAACACTGGAAGTGCTAGCCATTCTTGCTGTCAGCTTTTAGTCAACTTCGAGGTGGAGGATTATTGCTTTCCCACCTCCAAGAGGTTTCAAGGCTTAGTGAATCTGAGATTGAGAAGTGGGAAGTTCAGAGTGACTGTCTGTACTTGGGCTAGCATCTTCCTGACATGTGAGACCCTAAGGGTTTTGAGAGACAAGCTGTGGCGAATCCTGCTGCCGTACTCTGACGGAAACATTGCTCTGTTACACCTTCCTGCTGGCAGAGTCATCAGAATAATTTGGCAAAAAGTGCTTGTTACCTGCATGGGTAAATACCCAGACTCAACTGCCTGTTGCACTTTTCCTGCAATTATGGAAAGTATTTCTGTATTGCTTCCGACTCTGCGAAGTGCAGCAGCCTGAGCCACGGATGAGCACTGCTATTTGAGGCCTATCACCTCTGTTTCAGGCCTTCAGCGCTCTGTGGTGCTTCAGCTGTTTCTTGGCACTGTCTGTTCTTGCTCACCATTGATTACTTAAGGCCGACTGCAACTGCAGCTGAGGGGCATGGGCAGCCTGTCAAGGCAGATGTACCACAGCGAAGCCAAACCGGAACAATACCTTCCAAGGTTCTGCAGGATTCGCTCAAGTGATGTTTTTCTGTTCAAGCAAAATCAGTTGAAGAGCATAATGAAATAGATATGGGAGGGGGAGAAAATTGCTGCAGACACACTAGTCTGAACCACTTGGAATATTTTGCTATAGGCTGCTGCTTAGGAGAGAATGTCAAGTAATTCACTGGGTACCAGAGCACCCAGAGCTAGCTAAGAAAATTACTGCAGCTTTCCAGTGTGTGCGTGTTTTGTTGTTGTGGTTTTTTAATATACAAATAATTAATAACAATGTGTGACACTTTTAGGCTGCATATTTTAGTATTTGGTACTGCAATTTTTGGCTGTAACAATCAGCTCATAAGAGGAGGCTTTTTCTACCAGCACTGCTTTATAAAATAATGAGTTCTTGCTGGTGTTGGTTTTGCTGTTCTGTTGTTGTTTTAGTTCATCCTATTTCTGCCTCTAATAATTTTTCCTTTGCTACTTTTGTTGCTGCTTGTTTCAAAACTGTTGCAGGCCAATTCACATTATTTTTGAGCTAATAGAAAACATTCTACAACTTTTTACAGCAGACTGTGTTCAGGCTCTTCTTATTGTGCTGTCTTTGGAAATTGTCTAATCTATCCCTGAAATTGTTTTGGGGAAGTGCCTTCTCACTGACCCTTATATTTGGGTGTGAGGATGAGAAAATGGAGGAGAAAGAGAACATAGAAATTACATTTCTATTGACTAGAACAGGAGTTCATCCCAGACACTGCTCCCTTGAAACTACTTGCTATTAAAACAAGGCATGTGGCAGTGTTCAGAGAAGAGAGCAGGTTCTGAAAACAGGTGTTATCTGGTAACTTTCTCCTTGCTTCCTGAGAAGAAAAGAATTTGTGGGTTTGTGTTGTGTTTTCTTAACTATTCTTGATAACTTGCTTCAGATAGGTCCTAACCTGGGTCACGGGAGAAGTATTCAGATGATATAATAAAATAGGGGGTTTTGTTTGTTTTTCCTGACCATGGCTTGTTAGTAGAAAGCTTGCTTGTTTTGCTGTGTAATTTGTAAGCAGTCAGTACAGTTCTAACTTCCATAGTCTGATTTGCTGTCTGGCAGTTAGCGTGGAAAAATAAATCTGACTGATCTCATTTGATCAGCTGGTGTCACGGGCATTTCAGTGAGGTTTTGGTAGGTTTAGGGACTCCCTCCTCACCCACGCTCGTTAAAATAATTCAGATATATCTTAGGAAATATGTCATGAATCTGTGTCCGCAGTATATGAGAGTATTAGAACTAGGTTGTAATACACAGCAGCGATTACTAGATTTGCCAGATAGCAGAAACTGGTGTAATGTGAAAGAGATGTTGAAAGAATGTCCAGGCTAATTTTGGATTGACCCTAAGGTAGTTAGTGGCAGTTGTGTCTAGGGGAAGGGTTTATTGAAGAATTAATTATTTAAGACTGCTGATGAAGTTGGGAGTGAAAGTAATTCTGATTTTATCTTTCTGGCTGTTCTGATGGATAGACAAGAGAGTTCTGTGTTACAAACTTCAAGAACTGACCAACTTGACTAGCTAAGTTCATGCTCATGGGTGAGGGTGAATAATCTTTTTTGCAAAAGCTGTTTTTATCCCATCGTATGTTAAGTATTTACTGGCTAGACTAACAGGTTGGGTTTTTTCTTGACTTCCTGGTGGTGTTTTTCTGTTATCAAAAAGAACCTAACTTGCTAATGTAAAAATAGGCTATGTAGAAACAAAACAAACCCTTACTTAGTTGGCAGAAAACCAGGTTATAATGATGTCTTCTCTGTCTGCCTGAAGAGGTGTACAGTGTCTTTGCACATTGTTAGTAAGGTAGGGATTTTTAAAAGCATTGGAATGGGGAAGCTTTTGGATAGTTATCGTATGTATTCTTAAGTCTTAATTGACATCAGAATCCTTGAGATCGCCTTCATGGCAGGCGTTCTCACCCCTTGTAGGCTTTCACAGAGAAGGAATTCACTGTAACTTTCTCAGTAGTCAGACTAATGGAATTCCGTTGGAAATATCAAATACTATATTGTATTTACAAATAGATGACACTTACCTGTACTTCTAAATATTTAGCAGTAAAATTAAGAAATACTATTATTGCAATGGAAAGCAAGATTTTTGGTGTTTTGTCGTTAAGATGCACCTTGTAGCACTTATTGCTACCAAGTAACACAAAGATAGAGGGTGTACATGTGTACAGTTTTCAGAATTTTGCAGTGTAAAAAGGGGATTTTTACACTGTATTTTAGAAAATAGAAACAGTTACCTGAAATGGCCAATTCATGAGGACAAAAATGATGCCTGTTTCTTTCTTCTCCTCCGTCAGGTCTGTAAATACTACCTTTGTGGCTTTTGCCCAGCTGAACTATTTACAAATACCCGTTCTGATTTAGGTAAGTCTATAAGTCTTGCATTTTTTATTCACTTCTATGTAATTACAATTGAACTTTTGTTTGCAAATTACATTTTTATTGTATGGTGCTCTGTCAAAACACTTTGAAAATAGGCTTTTTACTTGTAAAGGGTTGCCAGCGATAGAGTGTGTTAAGAGCAATGTATATTCCAGATCCTACTTCCTCTAAGTGAAAAAAAATTTTTACTTCCCCCCCCTACAGTGTAAGCTAAATCAATGCCTGTGGGGTGGTTTTCTCCTCCTGAAGTGCTGGCTCCTAGTTTGTTTCATTCCACCTGGGCAGGGTTTTAACTTATTTTTGTGTGAGTGTGCATTTTTGAGCTGCTTTACATCAGTAGCAGTTATTACTGAAGGCCATCTCTGTATTACTAGTAGCTTTCAAGCGATGGCATGTGGGCAGCATGTAGGTTGGAGATGGTAACTAGGAAAAACAGGCTTCTTGTCTTAGCATTAATTTCCAAGTCCATTGAAGAGTTTGATGGGCTGGGGAGGGGGAGGAGTTTTAACATGACTACCTCTGTGAAATCCAGCCTCATACCTCCTCATATTATGCTGAAGATCAGCGTCTTAAGTAGCCAGTTTATTACGAAGAACACTGGGGCTTAGAAAGTGGTTGGTGAAATTACCCTTCATATGTCATTTTTCCCTTTTTTCAAGGCCCCAGGTGTTGAAGGTATTACTTTATGTAGTTTTACCAATGTAGAACTTAATCTGGAACTTCTATTTATATGAAGAGTTTATATGTCATTCAGAATCTCCTTTGGTTTTATAATTACTGAACACTGACATTCTTTAATGTGTCTTTCAAACCTGCGGCAAAGGAAGTAGGAAGGCAAGCATAAAAGTCCCTGGCAAGTGTTTATAACCCTGTTCTGTCACGTTGCACAAACAAATCCTGCTGGAACGTGAATACAGCATTTAGGAATGCAAGCGTAAACATTTTGTGTTGTCTTTTTAGGTCCTTGTGAAAAAATTCATGATGAAAATCTACGTAAACAGTAAGTATGTTGGTTGATAATGTTAAAGTAAATAGTTTCTAGTATGCTAGAATTTTTTTAAAAGCAACCCAACTGTGAGAAGCTAATTGCTTTTTGATTTACGTAAATATTTATTTAAATGTATAATATTCTCTCGAGCAATATTTATTATGTTGTAGGTTCTGTTATTTTCATGTGTTATGGATTGATGTGAGCTTTCATTTTTTAAAATATTTTACTAGGTATGAGAAGAGCTCTCGGTTTATGAAAGTCGGCTATGAAAGAGACTTCTTACGCTATTTACAAAGCTTACTTGCAGAGGTAGAACGCAGGATTCGAAGAGGCCATGCTCGTTTGGCACTGTCACAGAACCAACAGTCTTCTGGGGTGAGTCTGGAAGAATCACTGAGGCAATTTTTCTTCTAGATAGTGTCTTCATTTTCTCTTTACCTTATCTCTTCAGGCAAAATACATTGTGTTCCAGAAGATTCCCGTGAGATAGGTCTCTTCACCTGTTAGCCAGGAGGTTGCATTTAGCCCCAAAGGACAAGCCAAGTGGCTCCACAGTGGGCAAGAGTGCCTCTCTCTTCTGTTTCCTTACAATCACTATCTGCAATCCGCCCTAGAACATGAACTTGCCAAGTGTTGTCTTTACCCCGTTAAGTCCAGTTTACCTTCTCTCCCTTTGTTGCATATCCCTCCTTCACTAGTAAGCTGTATCACGGTGATAGTACTGAAGTAGGCAAGCACTGGGTCTTTCAGCAGCTGATGGTGCTAAATCCCCCCCATCAGCTGCCACACTTAGGCCTCTTTCTGCTCCAGCACCACCATTGCCCCGCAGGGATGGGGTCACAGAAGTTTGAGAAAGAAATCCTTCAGTGCAATTTTTCTCACTTCCAAGCTGCATATTAGACAGCTGTTGATGAAAAGCTTAAACTGACTGGGAGAAAAATCTTGTGTGTTTACTCCACTCATTTTTGTTTTTTTCTTGTCCCCTGATGGATTTGGAGCAGACTGTGGCCTGTCTTCTGAGAGTTTTGGGACGGCTAGGGTAGTCTTGCTCTTTCTGCTACCCCAGTTAATTGTTCTGTGCAAAGTCCAGTTGCTTCAGACGGAGCTGCGGACAGTATCCAGTCAGGAGAGCTTATTGCCTGCAGAGTAGAGCAAAGGTTGTGGGAGAAGCAGATACAAATCTATTCCGGCAGCCTGCAGAGGGGACACGACTAACAAGTACATTTTGGACGAAGTGAGATTCTTTTTGCTCAAAAGTTACATTTCAGGACTCGTGGAACTGCTAAGTCATACTTGGGTGTCTGCAAAGATATGTAATAGCTGTGTGGCAGTTTCAGAGTTTAAATTTAGGACTTTGAATCCAGATGTCTTACCTTTTATGGGCCAGGGCCTTGAATATTTTTGTTGATTTAAGAGGAATTAGTGTGACTAGGACTTGCTTCACTCAGCAAGAATGGAGTAAGCTGTGTTGAGGAGTGTTTTATGTAGCCTAGATTATATTAGTAGACTCATGGGAGGGGAGGCAGGAGGTTATTCCTGCAGTGTCTCTGGAATATGAGAAGACACACGTTCGTGTGTGTTACAGCTATTTTAATTTTTAAAAAATAAACAAAACACACTTCTACTGTTTGGCAGGGAGCGGGACCTACTGGTAAAAATGAAGAGAAGATTCAGGTGTTAACTGACAAAATTGATGTACTTCTACAACAGGTGAGGGTTTTTACCTCCTGTAACAGAAATCTTGCTTTTGTTACTTGATGAAGAATTCTAAGTGAATATTTTTTTTACTGCCCTTTAGATTGAAGAACTAGGTTCAGAAGGGAAGGTGGAAGAAGCACAAGGAATGATGAAACTTGTTGAACAGTTAAAGGAAGAGAGAGAATTGCTGAGGTCTACAACTTCAGTAAGTAACGTACTTGTAGTTCTTACTTCAAAATTTGGTGCAACAGGACGTTCTTGATAGCCTTGTCCTTACACGGAGGGCGTGCAGGCTCTACGCAGAAGAATAACAGTAACGGGACATTGCCGTCTGTTACTCCAGTGCGTTGATTTAGCGTGCTGCCTTGAGTGGGTTTCCTGCACACAGATTATGAAATTACTTGCACAGCGGTCCTGGAGGTGAGCTTGTATCTTCCTCTAGTTCAGGTTTCAGTTGAACTTTGCTGCGTAGCCTCAGCAATATTATTTTACTGAGTTAACCAACCTGGCGGTGTTGCAGAAAGCCCTTGTGTTGGGGCTGTGACTAGAGACAGGCATCTGTCAGACTGAGAGCTACCGAAGCCAAAGGTATGTGTTAAGTAGCAAGTTCCTGTCAATAAAAAGGACCTTGTGTTTAAACAATATATTTTGGTGTTTAATAATATGCTCAAATTGATTCCTGTTTTATTTCAGTGTTGCAGGCAGCAGTGTTTGTGTCCACACGATATGGTTCATGAACACTGCACAGCAATAACGTTGGAATTCCAGTGTACTTCTCTTGTCTGTTGAAACAGTGAATTAATTTGACAACTATCCTTTTCCTTTTGGTATTTCTTCATGTGTTGTTATAGCCTTTTCCTTGAGACACATTCCATGGTTATTCTACAGCTCCAGACATTTCAGTTGATGCCAAAGAAATCATCTCGAGAGAGAATTTTATCGTCCTTGATCCTGAGATTGCAAAGAAGCTGCAGATACAGTTGTATACGTATTAATCCTTTGCACTGAGGAATAAGTTTGGTTTTTTGTGTTTTCTAATTGACCTTTCCTTGTGGCTCACATGGAATGGGCATATGTAGCCCTTTTTTGCCCTGTTCATCATAGTAGGTGCAATGCTCCGAAAACAAAGCACCCAGATAGGATTTTCAGCTTTCACTAGTGCCTAGCATTTAATGACAGTAATAAAGTTGTAAAGCTCTTCACTGGCTCTGGTTAGAACTTTTCTTTTGCTTCATCAAATATTTTTTCTTTTGCAGACAATTGAGAGCTTTGCAGCCCAAGAAAAGCAAATGGAAGTTTGTGAAGTTTGTGGAGCCTTTTTAATTGTAGGAGATGCACAGTCCAGGGTAGATGACCACTTGATGGGAAAGCAGCACATGGGTTATGCCAAAATAAAAGCTACTGTAGAGGATTTAAAAGTAAGCATCTCCTTCAGTTACTGAACATGAAACAAATGCTTGGAAGCTTCCTACAGTAAACAAAAGGCTGTCTCAAGGACATATCTCAAGCAGGTGAAATATTCCAAGGATGGTATATAAAAACTAAATAGAATCTTACACTGCACACGGCGTTGTGCTTGCGCTGCCATTCTTTGTTGTATGTGATTACACTAGATATAAGCAAAGGTGTAAATTCAGGTGGGATTTTTTTGTGGCCTTCGTAAAAACAAAACCAAACCCACAAAAAAAACCCCAACCACAAAAAAACCAACACCCAAACCCACACAAACCAAAAAAACCACAAAAAACCAACTGTACTGTTGTCTCTGTTTGTGTGTGTGAGAATGGAAATCAAAAAAAGTTCTGCAAGACAAAGGATTTCCATTTCAGGGACTTCTGAAAGTGTACATAGGCCTTCCTTTAGGGAAAAAAATCTGAAGTATTTTAAAAGCTTAAGCTTCTACACGCTCAGAATGTATAAATAATAAGTTATATTGATAAAACTTGATAAAAATAATAAGTTATATTGATATATATAAATTATATTATATATATAAATAAATAATAAGTTATATTGAATGATTTATCTTAAGTAATCTTCATTTCTTTCTGTGAACTACTTTTTGAAGGAAAAATTACGGAAAAGAACAGAAGAACCTGACCGTGATGAGAGGTTAAAAAAAGAGAAACAAGAACGAGAAGAGAGAGAGAAAGAGAGGGAACGGGAAAGAGAAGAGAGGGAAAGGAAGAGACGACGTGAAGAGGAAGAAAAGGAGAAAGAGAGGGCTCGTGATAGAGAGAGACGTAAAAGGAGTCGTTCACGGAGTAGACATTCAAGCAGAACATCTGACAGAAGGTGCAGCCGTTCACGAGACCACAAAAGATCAAGAAGCAGAGAAAGAAGGCGAAGCAGGTACCTCTGTGTGTGTGGATGTATTTTCATGCAACTTCCCAAAATGTAAAAATCTTGTGGGGACTCGATCTGTCAGCCTGACCTGTTGTTTGTTCCTGTTGTTATCTCTTAAGTGAGGACGTGACTTGAGTAGTTCTACAGATAAGCGAGTTTTTGCTGCGTGCTTGCTCTCTTCTCTCCATTTTTGGAAGCAATGACACCATTGTGGTGGAAGTGGTCTCGGGAGGGAGCTTTGAGTAGACAAATGCTCCCAGAGCAGGGTCTTGTTTTCTCCTTAAATTGGTCTTTAATTCGTAGTAGTGGATATTTTTAACTGTGTGGTTGAATGATTGGGTCAATGAAGAAGGCAGTATGATGCCAGGTCTTACGTACTGGGAAATACAGTGTACTAAGGCTTGTTCTAAATACCTGTTTTCTGCAAATAATCGGTGTACTAGAAAGTGCTACTGTTCTATTATTTTATTTCCCAAGTTAGAAAATACCAGCTGACACTTACAGTTTTGAAATTTTTTCTGAATGTGAAGGAGTCGTGACCGAAGAAGAAGCAGAAGTCATGATAGATCAGAAAGAAAACATAGATCTCGCAGCAGGGACAGGAGACGGTCAAAAAGCCGGGATCGGAAATCCTACAAGCACAGAAGCAAAAGCAGAGAGAGAGACCAAGACAGGAAGTCAAAAGAAAAAGGTATGTTTGTGTGAAGACTGAGTTGGTATCAAGTTCTGACACTAATGTTTCCCTAAAGTCTCAAAAGCTCATAGTCTTTCAGTGATCGACTGACAGTTGTTCTCAGCATCAAATCAGATCCGGTTTTATAAGCTGTATGTGTTGCTGTTAACAGATTTGAAGCATTTTCTTCGTTGCAGTTGTTGTTAACACACGTGCGGGCATACGTACACCCCGGTGTCCACCTCTTACCTGTACAGTAGTTATTAAAAGCTTACCACTCTGCAAATCAAGTGTGTGAGGGTTTTGATGTGTTTTAAGATCTGTTTCCCTTTAGGGAAAAAAAAGTAAGCCTGTGATCAGATTTTCATAAGTGAATATCTTCTATTCCTACTCTTTAGCAGATATTTCTGTAATTGCATGTTTTGTGGGAGATTGGTGGCTGGTTTTTCACCTGTACCATCTACTACTTCTCTGCACTATCATGTCTCCTTTGTTTTCCGTTAACAGTGACTTTAGGTTCTTGGGTTTTTTTTACCTAATGTATGAATGCAGTCCAAGATAAATCTTACAGAATGGCTGTAATGCTCTAAATTACAATTTCATGCCCTCTCCCCAATCTCCTGCCCTTCTCCCCCTCCCCATCCTTCCCCCTTCTTGGTTTGGGGTTTTTGTTTGGTTTTAAATGAAGTGAGATTTGCTTTGTCAGTATTCAGACCAGTCTGAAAGGAATGCTGTATTAGTCCTTGCAAGGCTTTTGTAGCCGTTTGTGCCACGTACAGCAGTGTTGGTAGTGACTCACTGCTTCATCAGAGGCTGGTGTTCAGAACCTTGACCTTTACGTAGGATTTAAAAGAGCTACAGAGAGAACACTACAGATTCACATTCTGTGAAGAGATACCAATTCACTGTTACTGCTAAATTTCCCCCTCTAAAAGTCTTTTATTACATTCCCCCAGAAGTTTCACTGATTTAAAAGGCTGGCTCTGGGATGCTGGAAGCAGCCACCCCACTCCCTTAGCCCAGCTGTCTGTAACGGATGACAGTTCTGTTATGTTTCTAAAGTACTTCTGAGGTTCTCTGGAATGAAAGGTGCTATATGCGTGTTTCTGGGTTGCATAGGCCTGTTTGCCCTACCCTTACTTTTCCATCTGTATCCAGTGGATTAGTTCCCAAAATGGTGGTAAAGCTTCTTGTATTTTTCTTGCCTGACTTCCTTGGACCATTTTAATTTTTCTGGTTTATACTATGGTGCATCGTTAGTATTTATTGTTCTCTCATTTTGCTTTGCCCTTTATAATCAAGTGGGTTTTAGCTGCTTGCTCATTGTCAGTAGCACTGATGTGTACTGTTTAAATCCAGTATTGAGCCTGTATCTGTCCTTTTTGACGTTATTCCTACCTGACATTATGCTTTTTTTGGCCTCCTTTATGAACAGATTTATGGTTCTTGGTCAAGAATGTCCTATTCGGTATTCTGTGTGTATCTATGCATATAAATGTGTTCTTATTTATTCAAATTTGGTCTGGTTTTGAGCTAAATGGCTTTTCAGTTCTTTCCTTAAACCTTCCATAAATAGAGGAGCTAGTGAATTTTCTTCAGCATCTCAATATTTTTAGTTTTAACTTGTCTGATTGCCTTGCTGGCTGTTTTATTTGCTGCTTGCTACTTCCTGCCTCCAGAAGTGAAAAGAGTGAGGTGATGCTATGAGCTGTGATGAAAATTCCACCTGGGAAAATCAATTACTTGTTTTGATTATGTCATCATAACAACTGCAGAAACACAAGTAGGCCTTAGAGCAGCACTGTAACGCTGAAGAAGTCTCTGTTTTTTCCCTTTGCTGGGAAAATCTTTAATAAAAAGAGAAGGGGAAAAGGAAAAAACCCAAACTAGTAGTATTTAACAAGCAAGCATTGAATTTCTATGGTGAAGCTGCAAAACACCGTGTTATCCTCATGTTTGCAGTGTGGCACTGTGGGCAGCTGATTGCTTTAGGGGTTCATGTATCTGAAGTGTGTGGCTGGCTACCTGCTCTACCGTTTACAAAACAAGTAATGCAGAAGTTCAGTCTTAAATTACTACATTTACTGCTTCACTGGGAATATCAGCTTCAGCATCTGTCTTCATCCACCGCTGAGTTGCAATTAGAAAAGCAAGCAGCAAAGGCCTGGCTGTAACTGCGCATAGTAGTGCCTTTCATCCCGAAATCTCAAACTGCTTTTGAATCCTAACAGGAAAAAAAACCAATGCACAGTTGCCCAAGACTTTACCTACTGTTACGCATGAAATCAGTGCTATTGAAATTCAGAGGTTCTGGCTTCTTGTTCACTAAAACAGTGTGGAATACAGCGACTTTAAAGATTGTAAGAAAAAAGCGTATGTTAAAAATGGAGACAATTTCTGACTCACGTTTCCGCAACAGGGATACATTTGCTAAAGGAAGGAGCCACAACCCATAAACACCAGCTGAACATCAGCTTAGTAGAACACAACTCCTGTTCACATAAACTGTCTTCAGAGCAGGTGGAGTAAATAGGGGTTTGGCTTTTTTTAAGAAAAGGAGAACGTGTTCTGCATTTTCTGAAGGGTTAATAGCAGAACACACCTCCAAACCACTTAAACTTGGCTCTTTGCTTAATCTGGATTCATATACTTCCATAAAAATAATTATACTTTTGATTGTGTTAGTGATTAAACCTCAGCAGATGCTGTCAGAATACCCTAAACCCTCAGTAATACTGGCTGTTATGTTTGACTGATTTTTTGCATTCTCTGAACAGTAAAACCATTCACATTATCTGGGTAAGAATTCTCACAAAACGGATCATGGTTGCCCACACGAGCTCAGTCAGAAAAAGGTGCAGGAAGCACAGTCAGTATTGCCTGAGTATACCTAATAGATCACAGCTGAGAGAATATACACAGCTTCAACAGCAAACTAATTGTATGTGCTTTTAAAGAAAGAAATCTTTCTGACTGAAAATACAGTGGAGGGTCTTTGCTGCTTGCAGATCCTCCCGGAGTTGAAAGGAGTTTAGTTACCAGACTGTTTGTTGAATACACGCATGGCAAACTGGAGGTTTGCTATGGTAAAGCTGTTTTATTACTAAGGTTTTTAGAAGAGTTTCATCTTTCATAGCACAGTTTAATAGTAGGTTTTTTAACCTTAAACATTAATTATCCTTCCTGACCAAATTTAAGAAACGTGCAAGACAGAACAAAACCCTGCACACTGCACATCCGTAGGGCTATTAAGATCTACCGTATCTACATAGGACGGAAGATAAGATTATTGGACTGACTACTAGTCCTCTGCGGGGAAACAAGACTACTATTCCTCAGTGGATCCACGTGTGCATCGGAGATACCTATAAGACACAAAACGAAGACTTTTTAACAAGGTTAGTTAGAGTGAAATCTACCTGCGGAGTTGCAAAACCGAGGGCAGACAGGTACAAAATGATGAGTTCTTCAGTTAGCTTTTTGACGTCGTTGCGTGCTTTTTCCAAGCACCGTGCACAGGATGTGCTGCTTCAGATGAAACCTCAGTAGTGGTGTTCTTTAGGCAGTTGCCCTCATTTCTGTGGGGGGGGTTGTACCCCTCCCTTTGGTGATCTGTTTTAAAACAAAAGTTGGGATGTTGCTTCTCGTTTAAAGCTTAATTTCTCCTTTGTCTTCTGGAATATGAAGTGTGTTATGCCAGTCTAGGTGATAACGTTATTTAAAATAGCTTTTTCAGAGTGTTCGGTCTGTGTGCTCCTGTGTTGGGGATCTGTACATAAATATATTATCATTTTAACTGCCCGGATAGCAGGGAATAATCAGAAAAAAGAGCATGAATGTTGTTCTGTATGATGTCATCCGAGAGGTTGGTTTTACAGATTTATTTATTTTTCTTTCCAAAGTCTCTTTACTGATCAAAGGTTGAATAGTACGGTGTGAAATTAGACGGAAGGAACCGGTATTTTTATTAAACTTGCAAATACTGATTTTACAGATGAGGCACCCAGCTCTAATACTGAATGTTTTTCTTCCCGTGGAAATATTTTCACTTCTGGCTTCCTTCCTTCTTTGAAGATTATTGAGGAAAAGATGAGTTTTTCAGCAGTGTAGCAAACTCTTCACTCAGCTTTCCAGTTCATGATGAAACTGGGGGGGCCTTCCCATCATGTAAAAAGCACAAAGGCAAAAACCAGCATATCTTCCAAAGTGTCTCCCCAAGCCTTCGTAATGATTATGAATGACTGCCAGTTTTATAAAATTGAGAGTTAATGGTGCTGACAAGCGTGCAGCTTCTGTAACGTTTTGCCCAGCGAAGTTAATTTTGGCTGTTGCTGTGTCCCCACCTTCAAAGCTAGTGGGGCTTAATATTGTTTCCCCAAGTATTGGATGGTTTGGGGCTGCTAGCTTTTTCAAACTGGCAAGTGTCGATGGATCTGATGACGCACTGTCCCGTCACCCTTCTCTGAGTCTCTTTTCAAGAACCGTATTTAATGAGCATTGTAAACCGAAGGCGGCCATGCTGTCATAAATTAAAACTTGGGGACAGAGTCCCACGATAAGTAAGGAAGCCATGCCCCATAATTACACGTTTGCCTAACTTCTCGACTGCTGCTTTACCCCCAGTTCCAACGGATGGCTGAGTAGCTGCCTCTGATAGGCAGGCTGTCCTTTCTCCTCTTTTCCCCACCCTGTACTGTCCCCCTTGACTGCTTTTTGTACCCTTTCCATTCCAGCATGGTAGGCTGAAGCCAGTATGTTTCTGTAACGCTTGGAGTATTGCTGTAGGAAGTAACTGTCCCATTTTGTATGCAGTATGTATCTCACATGTGCAATGTTTGTTTTTACTTTGAAATCCATGGTCAATGTCTTCTTTCATGGCAGAAAAGAGGGGATCTGATGATAAAAAAAGTAGTATGAAGTCCAGTAGTCGAGAAAAACAGAGTGAAGACACAAATACAGACTCGAAGGAGAGTGATACTAAGAATGAGGTCAATGGGACCAGTGAAGACATAAAATCTGAAGGTGACACTCAGTCCAATTAAAACTGATCTGATATGACCTCAGATCAGACAGAGGTAAGTGCATTATTTCAAACTTTCATTAGGGCTTTTTGTTACTGTTTAACAGTGCAGCGTAAGTATGCACAGATGAAGATGGAGCTAAGCCAAGTAAGAAGACATACTAAAGCACCTTCTGAAGGAAAAGACAGTGTAGTCCTGCAAAACATTTTGAGGTACATTGTTTTGTCTCAGCTCTTTTGTAGCAGACTCGTGCCCCCATTAGTGTGCCTCTTTGGGACATATTTGTAATATAGTCACCATAGAAAAACTTAATTATACTTTTTTTATTTTTAGGGATTTTGTTATCGTTTTTTAAAAAAAAAAGAAAAAAGTTGAACTGTTTTTGTATTTAAGTCCATATTGTGTTGGTACATCAGCAGAAACTTTTGCTTTAATACTTAATATTTGAGGCACATGTTGGACTACTTTGTTTTCATATAAACTGCTAGTATTTCTTTGTCAAGGATGTTTCTAGTTTTTTTTGCCTTATTGCCTTGCATTCTAATGCAGTTTGTTCTGTAACTCGAGAGCCAGTAGCATTGGATTGATGGAAGTGTAGGGTTTATGAATTATTGCAGCTGACTACCATACCTCACACAGCGTTGGTGTTGTGAGCGGCCCATGAAAAAGCCAAATTAAAAATCAAGGATTCAGTCAAACTAAGCAGGTACTCATGCCAGGTACTCCTTTCTCTACCCACATCCATGTTTGAATGCTGTTGCCTGTAATCTTTAAGCTTACTGTTGTGTTTTTGATTTTCAAGATAGTGAAAAGGACTTTTTGTGTATTGTGTGAATACTGTAAATCTGATGTTAACAGAATGGAATTTTCTTTCAACTGTGTGTAGGGATGCAGTGCTGCCCAGAATTAGATATCTTTAAAGAGTTTAAAATGCAATAAACACTACATAATAATCGCCTTGTTACTTTCAATGCAATTCAAGTCTTTAAGAGGTATGTGTTTAATATTTCCTACGGTGTAGGAGAACTTGCAGTCAGCCAGAGTGCAGAGCAGCAGAATGGCTGATAACAGACTTCTAAGGGCAAATGTAGATACAAAGACAGATGCCACCAGAGGATGGCAGTGTTCATGGCAAGAATGTATGCTGAAACGCTGTTTGTTGGAAACGAAATGGCTAAGGAAGAGGAAACACTGTCTTGAGAGGAAAATGTGAAGTGTTTTCCCCACTCCTGACTTTCTTACTCTTACAGAAGGTCTTTAGTTGTATTCCTGAAATAAGGAACTAACAATGGAGAGTACAGCTGATAAATGAGCTGCTTGCAACGTACTGTGTTACTGTAGTTGCGTTATTTATGTTAGGAACTCCTAAGCACCTAATGTTGGTCGTTAAACCATTAATGCTACCTTATTGCTTCTAAAGCCAGTCACGGTCAGTGTGGACGTTTTTGTAGAGTTAAGATGACAGCTAACAACGGGGCCAATGTATAGGAGTGCTACACTGAATGCTCTTAATGCTGTCTAATTGTCTGTTTGTCCAAAATTTTGCATTATAGGACTACTGTGTGAAGAGTCTGCGAAGACAGCGGAAGACAGCTTAAACTGAAGATCTGCTTTAAAATGAGGTGAAAGAAAGCTGTAGTGGCGTAGAAAAATATAAAGTTGAGTTAGACTTTTTTTTTTTATAAAATTTAATTCAGGACTGGTGTTTCCTCCCAGAGTTCAGAGAGGCGTGTTGATAATAGCACATATGCTACTGAGAGTATAAGTCCTGTATCCTTTTTGTTTTTCTTTAAGACTTTTTAAGATAAGAAACCACCATAACCTGAACACATGGCTTGCTCAGTGTTTAATTGCAAAGTTTTCATTCTTGGACTTTAAAACACAAGAATAAATGTTTAGTATTTGTGTGACTCGAACTAAAATGAATCCCATTTTTACAACTAAGCTATTCCTAGCTTCTTGATATACGAGAAATGGAAATAAAGTATCTTGAATTTCTGTTACAAATTTGATTGTCTCTGTCATTGAACGTTTAATATTAAATAAGTTTCTTTCCTAATAAATCTACTCCTGTCTTCAAGCTTAGTCCTTAATTTGGATGCTTAGTTACTCTGTGGTGTTTGTGAGTTTGGGTTTTTTTGGTGCCATCAGTCTGTATTTCATGCCAAGCTTACTTTTTCAGCAGCTGGATGGCTGTTGGGTTCCGCGGCCCTTGAAGCGCGGCAGGTAAAGGAATGGCAGAAGAGTGCCGGAGGAAGGAGGGAGGCCTTACGCCTTTAACAGCAGTTGGACTAACAGCGTTGCTTGAAAGGTGCCACTGCTGCCACTGGCCATCAGCCTGCGTGTTTGCACTGCGGGGTGAGGTTTGGAGTGTGCGTTAACAGCTGTGTGCAGCTGGTAAGCACGCACAGCCTGCGTGACATGGGAAAAGAGACGTCCCTTGTAGTTTCTGGTGAAGCTGTAGTGCTGCAAGCGTAGTTTTGGAGAAGAACCGTGGTGCGTACCGCTCAACAGTAGACAGGTGGGAGCACGTAAAATAACGAAGATCTGGTTTTGGACACTGCATGAACACCTTTTCCTTCAGAACTTGGCTGAGAGATGTTACTCGGCTGCTGCATGGATGTGATGCTGCTTTCAGTGAGTAAAGCACTTGTCGTGCACTTTGAGTTGCTGGTAGTTGTTGCAGGACTAGCACAGGTATACGCAGTAAAATGAGGCAGCTTGTAGTAAACTGGACTGGGATTCAGACTGACCTGTGTGATAGCAGAGTCTCTCTAATGCACTGAAGGTGAAGCACAAATTCCACCTTTCGGAGCACAGGAAACGCTGTGCCTTTCTGTGCCTTCCTAGTAACGGAAACGAGCCTCTCCACAGCAGATTAAGCTCCTGAGCCCAAGATAAATACTGTCTCATTTTCTAGTAATGCTGTGTGACAAGCAAGGAGCTTATTTAAGTAAGCACCTCCTACCTGTTTACTCCATACTGGTTTTGGAGCTTATTTAAGTAAGCACCTCCTACCTGTTTACTCCATACTGGTTCTGGCAGCCTGACAGTCTTGTATTAGGTGTGGAAAAGGGATTTTTCAAGGTTTTGTGTTAGAATTCTAAGTATCCTTTCCACTCCAGAGTGCCACATATCATCCCCCCCGAGAGAGAGAGATCCGAGTACTCGAATCAAGCGATACTTTAATAGAAGTTAAAGTCGCATTGTTGGTTCAGTATAAGTTTGTAGTGCAAACAAAAGTTGTCCTTGTAAGTTTTGTAAACTTGGTTTCAGTTGTCAGACCAATGGGTTATTATTCAAAGGGGAAAAAAACCAAACCCACAAAGAAACGACAAAACGTAAGCAGGTACCATAACTAGTGGGCCTTAGAGTTTATCAAACTGCATGAAACATACAAAAATATCTCTCTGAATGCATAGGCTTCCTAGCATCGAAGTTTTAGTCTTGTCACGTTCACAGTTAGCACGTGTGGAAACTAGAGCAAACAAAGCTTTCTGTAAACCAGCTGCTCCTACGGCCGAGTGTTGGAGGGTTAGGGGAGGCGTCGCTGCACTGATTTCCTAAGGGAGGGAACTGGGAAGAAATGAGAAACTTGATTCAAACTATTTAACAACTGCTGTTTTTCCAAGTTACTGCGCGTAATCGCAACTAGCCCCCAGGTTACGCTGAAAAGCTAAAGACAACTGTTACGGTCTCCTGTCCTGTCCTACAGGAAAAACAAAGCAGGAGCCTTGGTTAGGAAGTTTTACTTCATACTGTGTCACAGGCTGGATCCTCCCGGGAGCGGAATGGGGCTTCAGGGCAGCCCAGCGCCTGGAGAGAAATGGGCTGGGATCGAGACGGGGGTGTCAGCAGGGTTTCAGTGATGAGATGGAGACAGTGCGAGCGGGAAGGGATGGGATTTGGATGCACTAAGCAAGAATTTTAAGCCTGGGGTGACTTTGTATAAATCCTGAACGCAGGAAGCATCTCTTCTGCTAGCAGGGAAGACCCCGACCCAAACATCTTGGTTGTGCTGCTTGTGGTCCGAGTGTCAAGGCAGCAGCGTTTGCCGTTGATGTGGGCTGATCTGCTGTGCGTGAACCCTGCCCCACGCAGCTCAGACACTGTTGAAGGGGGGACCAATGACAACAAAAGCAGCTCATGCCCAGAAAAAACAGCTCACTTGCCCACCCCAGGACCCAATTAAGGTTTTTTGGTGCAAAACTCATCACTCGTTTTTGGTGCCAAGGAAACCAAGAAGCCTCCCAAGGTGTAACTTTGCAGGCTGGCTCCAGGCTGTTGCTATTCCAGCAGTGCTGGGGCTGAAAGGGAGTGACTTCACGGTGTGTTTTCATGATGACTTTTGCCATTCATAAAACCACAGTTGGCTGTTTTCCTGACTTGCTTGAATGCAAGGTAAGCCGGCTGCAGCTTAACCTTCTTCCCCACCAATGTTCAGCGGAGAGCTGCTGGCGGCATCCAGCCCTTCGGGTATCCCGCTGGCTAAAGCTTCGGACACTAAAAGTGACAGGAGCCTGTCCAGCGTGGCAAGTTACGGGTTAGCTCTTGGCTGATGGTGCGTGTTTCCAGGCTAGTACAGCTAACCGAGAGCGTGACGCGCTCCTTACAGCCACGACCCACCCAGGGTCCACGCTTGTGCTGCTCCCGCTCCTCGCAGCTGGGCTGAGAGCGGCCGTGGGGAAGTTACCTGGCTGACAGCACTGACTCCGGGCGCGAGTAACGCACAGTCTCCTCGCAGCGCTGCAGAACCACGGGCATGGGTCTGTGATCCCCTCCTCAGCCCCGAAACACAAAGGCTTTATTCTGAAGGGGCGCTTTACCTTGCTTTGTGATGTCAGTGCTCCTTAGTGAAGCTTCTCTGTCTTTTAGTGGCGGTGGAGGGACGCCGTCACTTCAGTTACAATATTCTCATGTAGGAATGAAACAGTTAAATGTGGACACTCTTACTCCCCCTTTTTAGTTACTTTCAGCCCCATGAACACTTTTTCTCCTGTCACTTCAGAGCATGAGGTACTTCGGTCCCCGCAGGCAAGAGGATGCACTGCGGGAAGGCTTTCTGAGGGGGCAAGAGATGAAAGACTCGTGAGTTTCACATTTTTAGAGAGCATCAGTTCTTTTTATGCTAAACACCCTCTGACGTTTATCTTAGGAAGTTTTAAAAATATATATATTTACACACACACATTCCTGAATCTCTTCCACGACTCTTGTTTGGTCAAAGAGTGGGAGTACTGGGCACTTTCCTGCCCTCTCTTGCCAAACGCAACCATTGAACGTCGCTGAAGTACGCTGGAAGCATGTGATTTTAGTAGACAAATGAGGTATCCCTTATCTGAATACAGTATCAAGTAAAAAAATAAAAGCAACGGGGATATTAAATATAAAAGATAAACTATTAGTTAAAATAGCAACCCTAACAATAACTTAAGGTTTTACAGACGCTTCACTCGCTGCCTTCCGCAGGCAGTGGCACACGGTTACCAGATCTGCACGCCCCCACTGCAGCGAGAGGAGTCAGTACGTCAGCTTGGATGCTCTGCTGTTGTAGCACGGTCTCTCGCTCAGCGTGGATGCGGCGTGTCGGAACGGAGAGCTGTCACCCCTCGCAAGAACCAGCTCCAGCTCCTGGAAGTCCTGAAGTCTGGCAACATCCTTGTCCTTTCAAAGAACAGGCAGAACTAGGTGTTACTTCTGCACGAAACCGGTCCCGCTTTGTAAATACCGCTAGTGGCTAAAGGAAGTAAACCCCAGAATTCCAGAGGGTCCCACCCAGCGACAGGAATAAGTAACTCAAGAAAAGCCCCTACTACTACACGCTCTTTCCTTCAATGCAGGTTTGGGGTTTTTCCCTCCTCCAGCCACATGTTTTCCCCCTGAACCTCACGGCTGGATCGCCCCGGTGCGCGTCACTTAACCGAGAGCGGCGACCGAAGGTGTTGCGTCGACGCGCCTCCAGCAGAGGTATTTTGGGAACGGAAGAGCCTGTGCGTTTGCTAACGGCATATCCTTACATCATTCACATGCTGATCTGTGGGGTTTTCCCCCCCTTACTCTCTGTTCTCTTTGAGCAAACCCACCTGGTGCGTGGCAGCTGCGCTCCAAGCGTGTGGACGCACCGTCACTGACGCACTGGGACATTGGGCTGTAGCAGCTGAGGCTTCAGGACCTGAAATACTCTGCCTGTCTTGAGGGGGGGGAGTTTTAATTAAGGTGTGATAAGGTTTTAAGAAAAGTCCAGCCTCCTCTGGAATTTGTGAGCTCCAGGCAGCTTTTGGTTTTTACAACAAGGCCGTCCTTGTGTTAAGACAAATCTCCGATGTCTGCACAGCGCCAAGCGAAGCGCACCTCCGATTCCAGTTCTTACCTTTCTCACCAGCGTGTTGGGTAACTTTCTGATCTTCTCTACGTGCTCCGGATTAACGCCCAGTTCGCAGCAGCTCACTCGCAGCAGATCCCGATAGGTCAGTTCTTGCCTGTCCAGCTCAATTTCAATGAAGTCGTTGTCTCGCAGGTTCTGCACTCTCACCTTAAGCACAAGTTCTGAGGGGAAAAAAAGCATTAAAAGGGGTTGGGTTTTTTTCCGCTGATGCTGCGGAACACACTGCAGAATTTCTGTGTTGCTGATGTTCCCTACGGCGTTTAAAACTGAGCCGTAGCAGCTGACGCACTCCGCAGAGCAGAAAACCGTTCTGCGTTGCCCAAAAAATTCATCTCTGCCCCACTCGGGTCTGAGAGTGGAACGGTTCTGTAACTTCTCACCCAGTAACGAAACCCTGGGACAAGTACCGTGAAGGACAGGAAAGGACGCTCCGTTACCTTGCATGTTACACGGGAAAGTTCCAGTGAAGAACAAGGGCTGGAAGGTGGGTGCAGGACCAGCGGGCGAGCTGGCGGCTTGCAGGGGTTGGGAGGCTGCCGGGGAGGACAGAGCCCTGCTGCGAGCCAGGGACGGCTGGCAAAGGGGGCCGTTCCGCGCCTCAG